TCCGTCTTGGGCCGGGCCCAGCCCCTGCCACCTGACAGCGGCTCGTCCGTGTGATTCCATTTCTGCTCTTCCTCGTAGTCCAGGTGGGTGGGAGTCCGTGAAGGTAGCTTCATCCCTGGGTAAGGAAAAAAAACAAAGCATGAGAGAAATCCAGAGAATCAAACCAGTGCAGCAGCTGATTTCCTTCACAGCTGAACTCCCATCGGGTGGACGTGAGCGAAGCAGCCTCTGGATACTGACCCTGTAGACAGTAGTCGAACTTGTAGAGGTCGCTGTCCTCCGCCTGCTTGTGACAGATGACCCGATAGTGGGTAATGTTGCCGTTGGGACTTGCTGGAGGCTTCCACTTGAGAATAATCTGGGAGGAGGAGTTGGACGAGGAAATGGGATCCAGAGGGACCGTGGGCTCTGTGGATCAGAGAAGAAATCGATGAAGAATACAGAATAAGGTGGAGCATCACACTGAAAAAAAAAAAAACAGACTGACTGAAAATTGATATAAGAAAAAACTTGATCAAATATATAAGTTTTATGGTTTTGGAGTTCAATTAAATAAAAAATATCTTAGTGTTCGATAAAAAGGTTTATGTGAAAAAAAGGCAAAAAAAAAATCTCAATCCTTTAGGGTTTTCGTTATTGTTACAGACTGCAGGTGGCAGTGTTGTACGGTGAAACGTTTTAATTGGATCGCCGTTTCATTTGCACTTTTATGAGCGTGTATAGCAATGAAACTGTTTATGCCCCTTCTTAGGTTTCCCCACTCTTTTACAATGATTTACAGTTTCTGGCTCACAGGGGAGAAGTGATTCCCACGAGAAGATGAGAAGAAGAAGAAAAAAAAGATAATTATCTTCAGCAAACTTTCCACAGAAACAGTTGAAAAACAGGAAAAAAAACAAGGAAATCCTTTAGGTTGTTTGCAATGCCTCGCAGCTAAATGGTTAAAGCTGTTGAAGTTAGACGTCTGACTGGTTAACATATCTGATGTTTACATTCTCTACAACATCCATTAGAAAGACTCACAGGCTTCTGTTTCCCTCTAAAGAACTTTATTTTATCTTCAACTCACTGGAGGCGTTGGTGCGGACATAGATGATCTCACTCTTGGCTCCGTGAACCTGATGCTCGTCCGACGCGGACAGTTGGGTTTTTATCAAGATAGCATACTGCGTCCAGGGCTTCAGCCGTCCGATTAGGTACGCGGGATTCTCCGCAGATCTGCCTTCAGTTGGACGGGGCGGAGGGTCGACATCAGCGATCGCCCAGCTGTTCGAACCACATGCGTCCTGGCCGTCAAACTCTGTGACATTCTTATATGGACTGGAGAAAAAAAGAGAGAGAAGGAAGTGATGAGAGGAAGCAAACGGAATCAGGACATACAGTTAAAGTTTTTTATATAGATGTAACTGCTGTATCTGTATATGTGATGCTTTTCTTAACCCGAATAAAAGACTATAAAATTACAGCTTCTGTTCTGTTAACAAAAACATCTGAAAGGAAACAACTTCAGTTTTTATAGGACACTTACGCCTCCTTGTAGAGAACCATGAACCCAATCAGGTCTCTGAAATCTGTCGGCCAAAACGCCAACCACTTCAGAATGATCATAGTCGCCGTGGTCCTTATCATAGAGATCTCCAGCCGCTGTGTCTCACCTAATGGACAAAACAGACCATTTAAAACATTAACTTTATTTGACTTAGTTTCTCAGAAATATAGAAAGATAATTTTATTTTTTTTATTTTTTTTAAAATGCCTTACAAGAAGCTTGGTCCCCGTTGTTTCGTAAAGCGATGTCGTTCTTCTGGTTGCGCTCCTTGGTTCCTGTAACCTCCTCCATTTTTCTGATCTCAGACAAGCAGAGTTTGGAGTTGTAGTGGAAGAATGTGCGACCACGTTCGATGGTCAGGTTGTGCTTGGACCAATCCCACAATTCTCTCAGGTTCTGGTTGTCCAGTGCATAAAAGGCGTAAACACTAGAAGAGAAGAAGAAGAAGGAAGAGAGACAGAAAAAGAATCAGAAAATGATGGTGAACGGGGCAAGAAGGGAGAGGAAAAAAGATGAGGGGAAAAGAAAAGAAAAGAGAAGAAAAGGGAAGAGGAGAGGAGAGGACTCACTCTGTCTCAAGATGTTCCCCTCTGATGATGCGTAGTTTTCGTAGGAAAGACAGAGAGACCAGAGCGTATGCTCTGCGAACTGTCAGGAATCCTTTGATTTCCTCAAGCTGACCCAGGCTGGCCTCCAACTCGGCAGCAATGTTATCTGAAAGTTGAAAAGACATTTTGGTCACACCTTCAGCAGACGGGTGACAGCAGAAGATAAAAAAAAAATATATATATATATATTTATATATGCAAAGCAAATAAGAAGTTTCTAGATTAGACAGAGAAGGAGAAAAAAAGAAAAGGTAAAAATGTCAAAAGACAGTGAGGTCTGAGCAGCTCTTACTCCCTCCTCGTATCTTGATGACCAGGTTTCCGTGGAGAACAGTGCAGCCTCTCAAAGCCTGGGCTGAAGTTACGGAGTCGATGGTCTTATTTCCCACACACAGTTTAGGACAGAGGCCTGCGCACGGCGAACAGGTCAACCTACACACACAAACACACACACGAGGAAAGACGGAGAGAAGAGACTTCAACATGTTGGTGTAGATGCAGAACAACAACTTGAGAAAAGTCATATTAACAAACGGTTTACTGTGTTGATGTGACAGTGAGTGCACGGATGATCCAAACCGCCTGGAAATCACACTTCCTGCTCACATGACTGGTTTAAATGCCTCAACACTTAATGAACACAAGCTCCGTAAGAGAAACGTCAGCAGCCAAGACAACAGTGACAAACTATCATAGAAAAAATAAAAATAAAATACCACAAATGCTTCAGTGAGCAGATATCTGAGGAGGAATGAAGACGGACTGAGTGGTATGAGGCAGGAATG